AGGGGAAAGCGTGTGGGAGGAAGAAGACAAATACCAGTTCAGAAACTCAGACAAAGATACCGGGTAGGAGCTAGTTTCTATCCCAGGTAGGGACGGACAGGCTGCCCTTAAGGGAAGAACATTTGCTGTAGGAAATGCGAGAAGGGAGAAATAAGAAGAGCAACGGCCTCCGGCCAGAACGCAGCACCCGGGGGCCCCTCAGCGGGCAGTAGTGGGGGCTCCTCCAGGCCTGTCACCGGCTCCCGGAGCCTCCGCAGGGGTCTGAGGACGCCGTCCAAGCAGAAGGCAGGGGCTGGGACCTGGACTGGGGCCTCCCCAGGGCCCCGCAGGCGGCGCGGGGCCGACTCACCCACACAGGCCGTGCCGTCCTCGTTGGGCTCGTAACCCCGACTGCACCGCTTGTTGGTCCGACACCTGTAGCTCCCATACGTGTTGACACACACGGGCTTGTCCCGGGGGCACACGAACGGGAACTGGATGCATTCGTTGGTGTCTGAAAGGCGAGGGAGCCGCTCACTCGGGAGGGCAGGGTCCGTGCAGGCTCGGCTGCCCCCCGCTGTGACCGGGGACATGCCCTGCTCCCTGGGCCTCACTTCCTCCCGTCATCCCCTTGGCTGTCCGGCACGGTGCTTCACCTACATGCCAGGGGTGCTCAGGCGGGGGCACGGCCTCTCTTCGACCTACCAGGCTTTCTCAAGGTGGCCCCTTCATGCATGAGTGACTCCAGACCTCCTGCCTCCAGCCGCAACTGCTCCAGGTTTGTGAATCTATCTAATATGCATCTTAAACTCAGCAGGTCCCAAATGGAACTTTAGATTCCCTCCGGTCCCCTGTTCCCATCTTCCCTAACTCAGTCAGAGCCACCACTGCCCGCTCAGCTGCTCAAGCAGACACCAGTGTGGTCCCCGGTTCTTCCTTCTTGCTTCTCTCTGCAGGCAGTTTAACAACAGGTCCCATCAGTCCTGCCCCCACCGTACCCCTCTGGTCTGTCCACCTGCTTCTCATTCTGCCACCAGCCTGTTCCCAGCCAGCTCCGTCTCTGGCCTGGACATCTGCAGCTGCCTCCTGACCGGCCTCTTGGCTTCCACGCCTCCCTCCAATCCAGTTCTCAATGTGGCAGCCAGAGTGACCTTTTGAAAATGTGATCACGTCATGCCAGCCTCCTGCTTAACGGCTCAGGGCCCTAAGAACAAAGTTCCAGACACTTTACTGGGGCTTCCCGACCCTCCAGACTTGGCATCTGGCTCCTCCGTCCTGTCCAGGCCCATCGGCCTCCTCCGTCTCCTCTGACATACCAAGCCTTTTTCCTGCCTCATGGTCTTCACTCTTCCCTCAGCTCTTTCTGTGGTCAGGCCCTTCTCGTCTTTCAGGTCTCGGCTCAAAGGTCCCCTCCTCTGAGACTCTTCCTGACTAGTCTGTCTAGAACAGTCTCCAGAGAGCACCTGTTTAACGGGCTCTTAACTCATCTAGTCCAGCTGTTGGGTCACTTGTTGTGGCCTGACTTCCCCACTAGGATGATCGCCCTCCAGGGGAGGTGCTTGGCCTGCATTCTCAGCTCCCTGCGTGGAGTCTGGTGTGTGGGAGGCACACATATGTCTACTGGATGTACATGTGTGTGGGAGGCACATGTATGTCTACTGGATAATGAAAAGGAAGGGGCGCTGGATTGGTGATCTCACGGGGTCCTTCCAGCGCACAAGGCAGATGCTGGACTTTCTGTGTATGTTCACCGTCTGTTTGGAATGGCTAGAGGGGGGACATGGAGAGTAGAGGGGACTCATTTTCTCCTCAAGCCACCCTTAGAGCCACACTCCTCTGCTTTCTCACCTGTGGTCATTTGTCCCTCCACAGGAACAATTTCTCCCCTCTTTGCCTGGAAAACTCCTCATCATCCCTCAGGTCTCAGCTTAGACCTTGATCTCTCTGGGGGTCTTCTTGAACCCTCCCTAGACTGGTTTAGGGCCCTACCTCTGTGCTCCCACAGGCCCTGCCCTCTCCCATCCCAGCCCTGCTCACACTCTGTGGGCATCGCTGTTTACTTGTGTGCCTCTCCCATTGGCTCTAAGCCCTGTGAAGACAGGGACTGTGTCTGTCTTGTTTACTCTTGTATCTAAGTAGCGAACCCATTTGCCTGGGGCTGATGGACATCTGCAGAGAGGACTCGGAAAGAATGTTTCCTGAGGGCCGAAAGGCAGGAGGTGTGGTTGACCTGACCCCTCATTGCCAGCCAATGGGATGGAAGACATCTGTGAGCCTTCTGGATGCTGAGCCTCTAGGCTGCCCTTCTCTCAGTCCCAGCCCTTGGGGGACTTTCAGAAGGTCACTGGACCTTCCCAGAGCTGCCTTCCTGTCAGTGCCACAGCGACCAGCCCCCCCACCCAAGGCTGCTGTCTCCTTCTGTACTGAGACCACACTCCACACCCTAGTACACCCTAGTTTGCTCTGATGCCCCTGGCAACGCCCCTTGCTGCTCTCTGTGGGGGACTGTGCCTGCTGCAGCCACCACAGGCCCCAGCAGTCAGGCCTCCGTGTGAGCACTGTCCAGGCGGTTGTGTGTCTCATGGCCATAGTCATTCTCTCTGTTTTCATGGCAGGGAAGCACTGCCAATTCCCAGAACGATGGTGATTCAGCCTGCTGGGTGCTAACATCACTCCCACCTTAGTGAGTCATATGGTGGTTGTCTTGGCATCTGGAGCCCCGGGGAAAAACAATGCGCTCCCCTCCCCACCTTTCTACCCCTTGTCTGCAACCTGAGCCTTGCCAGGACTCAGGCTGACTGTCCCCAGGGAGATTCTGGCCTGTGCTCCATCCCTTGGTGCCTACAGGCAACTCACCCATGCAATGGCCATTTTCCTGCTGGGAGAATCCTTGGCCGCACTGCAAAGTGGGCAGAAGCAGAGACACTAGTGAGTTGAGAAGATCCCATCTCAGGCCCCCTCCTAAGGCCCTCCCCTCAAAGCAGCTGTCACCCTGACCCCAGAATGAGGGATGCTCTTAGCCCCTCCCTGCCAGGACTCCTTCCCTTGCACTGAGAGTAGGACATTGGGGGAAGGCCAAGAACAAATTCAGTCCAAACTTCTGCTCATTCCCCTCAGGTGGGACCCATGTGTCTGAGTGGGACAGCTAACAGAAACTGGCCCTCCTGTGGCATCGCCCTGAGACCGAGGCTGGGTCTCAATTGAGGCTAAGTATAAAGAGGGGTGGGAGAAGCTTTCTGAGGTGTCTGCTCACTCCCCACACCCTCTTCTCGGAGAACCTTCCCTACTCACAGGTGGGCACCTGCAAGCCAGGCTATCCCCCGTCTCTCTGGACAAGTCTGATGGGACCAGCGGAGGACATCCCAGCAGGAGGAGTGAATCAAAGGCAGGGCTGGAATTTGAACTAACTGAGGCCAAGGCAGATTTGGAAACTGGGTCACTCCAGGCTGTGGGGGCTTTGCTATGTCTATACGGGGGTCTCAGGGACAGCAGACTGATGGCAGGTCAGGGGGACTCGAAACAGCACTTTTCACAAGACAGAAAATGTCAACTGTCAGTACCGAGGAATGAGAGGGGGCTGGCAGGGATTATTAGGGAAGGGTAATGACCTCCTCACCCCCAAGCCAGGGAACTAATAACAAAGGTCCTGGAGCTTCTGGGCTGAGGCCACTGAGCTGCCAAGGTTTCTGCTCACCCTTAGCTTTCCATTGGACCTTGTGAGCTCCCCCAGAAGTCTCCTTAGAAGTCCCCTCTTCTGTGTGAATTTAAGTGGGTTCCAGTTATTTGCAACCAAGTGAGCCCCAGCAGAGTTAGAATCTAGAGCTCTTTCTCCGAGAGCCCCCAGAGGCCCTACCCCACCCTCAGAAGCAGCACGAAGCTTGTCAGAGATTTGGAAAGATCTGGGAGGGAAGCAGGAGGCCTGGGGTCAATTCTTAACTCTGCTAACAATGGGCTGTGCAGCCTTGGTGGGTTCTCGCTCTTGGTCTCAGTCTTCCTCCTCTGTAGAATGGGTGCAAAAATACTTGCCCTGCCAATACCCCCAAACTTCTGCGAGGAGCAGAAGAGATGTGTGTGTGGTACTCTTGTGCAAACTACAAGTGGTGGGATCATTATGAAGCCTGCTGTTTGCTAAGATTTCCGTCATTCTAGAGGCAAAGTCTGCAGATTCCTAGGAATCCAGCTTCAGTCCACGGGCTTGTGGATGGGGCCTTCTTTTCGGCCATGAGGCCCAGATTGCTTTCTTACCTGCAGCGGGGCTGGGTCCCGAAGTCTGTCCTCGTCCTGGGGGTAAGGGATCTCTAGCACCGAGTTCATCTCCCCGCTGCCCACGTTCCGGCTGGCCATCTTGCCATCTGGCCATGTCACCTCCACGCTGCTGGCCTCATCCTTCCCTGTGGGGCAGAAGGAGAAAGGGTCAGCAACCGAGGAGAGCGGGAGGGGGGTTCTCAGAAAAAGTATCATCATTCACTTATTCATTCGTTTAATAAAAAATATTAGTTGAGCACTGCTGTAAGTGCTAGGGAAGCAGTGAACATGCAGACGAGTTCCCGCTCCTGTGGAACAACACTGTCCAGGAGAACTTTCGGCAGGGATGGCAATGCTCCCTGTCTGTGCTGTCCAGTAAGGCAGCCACTAGCCACATGGGGCTGTTGGGTACTTGAAGTGGGACTAGTGCAATAAAGAACTGAATTTTAAATTCGATTTAGTTTAAGTTACATTTAAATAGCTGCACATGGCCAGTGGCTATCAGATTGGACAGTGGCACTCTGGAACTTATATTCAGTGGACAGGCCAGTCAGCATGGGGAGAGGGTAACCCCTGGTGATAAGGAGGTTGACTGCGGAGTCCTGTGTTCAAGTCTTGGCTGTACCACTTACCTGGTAGGTTGGAAAGAACACAGTGGGGGTGGGTATCTGGGAGACCTGGGGACAAATCCTAGCTCTGCAGCTGGCTTGCTGCATAACCTGGAGCATGTCACATTATATTTATGTTATTAATATTATTTATTTATATTCATATTTATAACTTGCTAGGGGCCAGGCTCTCTTTATGTCACTGGGGATGTCCTTGTTTTCAGGGAGTTTCCACTCTAGTGGGGATAGACAGGCAAACGATGAACTAATAAGTAATATCTAGATGTTTACAAGCTCTGTGAAGAAAACAAAAGCAGGGACATGGAGTGAAGAGGAACTACCGGGTGGTGGAGGTTTTTTTCTAGTCAGGGTGGTCGGGGACAGGCTCTGGGGTAGAAGGCATTTGAGCCGAGCTCTAAATAAAAGCTGAGGCGATAAAGACCCAGAAGGTGACAGGCACAGGAGCAAGACCACTGTACAAAGCCGAGATGTTTACAAACAGAGAAGCTCAGGGAATATTCCCGGTGAATCCATTGCACACATCCACAGAGCAATGCATTACATCACTGGCAGAAAACAAGCTGGAGAGATTTGTCAGGTGTTTAGGCGTTGTCAAAACCGCCCCGGCTCCCTGCTTAGGGCACCGGGCCGTCGCCGTGGCAAGGTCAGGCTAATGGAGATGGATGGGGTGCGAAGGACAGGGAGCAGGGCCTCCCCTGGGGGGGGGGCTGTTCTCCTAGCCAGCTACCTGGGGGGGAGGGAGGGTGCAGCCCCGTTATCACCCGCCCGAGCTGACCAGACGGCGGGTGCTCAGTGGTCCACACAGGCAAACACTCCCCAAGCATCATTCGTGGGCTGAATGAACAGTATGTCCCCCGCGTGCATGTGCTGTTCCCCTTAATGTCTGTAGATACTGTGAGAAAGCAAGGGGAACCAAAAGGTGCTGTTGAATTTATAGCAGCTTTTGGTCATCTTTGTCCATCCATGGATTTTACAGTGATAGATACTATGGGGATGGAGGGTAGCTGGTGAAACATCTTCGTGTATAAAAAGGGTTCCCGTATTTCAAAAATGGCTTGGAAGCCACAGCCAGACTTTGGGGAGAAATGCATGTGTAGACTCCTGTGCAAGGGTGGTCCTGGGGGTGGGGCTGGGACAGCTCGGGCCATTCCAGCCTCCCTACTGCTGTGCAGCGAGTTAGTGAGGACAGGGCCAGCTGCCACACTCTTCCAGTGTCAACGTGAGTGGCCCTCCTCTGTGGGCAGGCGGGCAGAGGCCCGGGGAGAGCTCCCAGGGGGAGCAGAGACCCCCACAGGCAGGGCAGCTCCCCTTTCCCAAGAGGCTCCCTCCCAGGCCGGCCTCGCTCACTCTGGGGCAGCTTTATTCAGCTGGAAAACACCTCCCATAACCCTCTACGCCCCCAGCCCCTCACGCTATGATGACTGCTTTTGGGGAGGGGCTAGAAATGGGATCGGGGTGTCAGCTACAGACTTCTTTCTGGTTTGAAGTAGTGTCTTGAGGTTCAAGAGACCTGGCATTTGTAGGGTGTATAGAGTCCAAAGTAAGTGGCATCTGTAAAAAGCAAACATTTTTCCATTAAAAAAAAGGCGACAAAGAGAAGCAACTGTTTGTCACCTAAGCCAAGAGAACAGCTCCGTGCATACAGTTTCCAGCCTGGCTCAAGTGCCACAAATAACTCAAAAGTCGCCGAGTATTCACAGACAACCACAAATTTACATCCTGGGGTTGCAGCACATGGTCCTGAG